CTGGAACACTAATCTTTCAAACACCGCCATTCCACCATTACACAGAAGATGCCATAGGAAGCCAGCAGCGAATCGTTTAAATTTAGCAAAATCCTTTCTTTCACTTCACAGTGACACATAGTTTATCTATTTATATATTTGAGAGAGTTTGTCTGTCTCTTTGTTCAATAACTCCTCCTAAACAGTAAGAGCAATAACCACCAAATTGGGTATGCAGCTTCCTCTTATCATAATTTAAAGCAAGGTCATGGTTTGATTGTGCCAGGATAATGGGATGTGCGTGTAATGTGATTGTTTTTCATAACACGGAAAAGGAGGGTTCTGCTTGCAGGGACAGTTATATTGTATAATGACAACAGGGGGAGTAGTAAGGGATCAGTGATGGGGACTGGGACAGTTATAATGGGGGCCGGGGTAGACAAAGGGACAACCATCTGAAATAATTTGTCTGTGTGTGTATCTGTCTCCCGGCTGGGAAACATGCGCCCCTCTCCTGGCTGTGCCCTCTACAGCTGTAGCGGCCATGAACAGGCATTTATCACCTGACCCCAAGCTGCTGCGGTCAGAGAGGGCTGGGGCAGTCCTTTCTCCCTCAGCAGCCTGAATACTAACCTCCTCACAGTCAGTCCTAACTAAGCCTCCCCCGCCTCTCCCCCAGGCTCCCTTTAGGGAGGGTGAGGGGTGTTGAAGCCTCCCCCCAATTCATATGGGAATATTGCTAACCCGAGCAATGCTGAATAAATCCCAGATTTCCCCACAACCTCTTCTGATATGGTTGCACTATATATATGAAAGGAAGTGCAACCATATTAGGAAAGGGTGGGGGAATATCTGGGTAAAAATACAGTGGATCTGCAGCTGGATGCCAATAGGTGAGTGAAAAGTGCATATAAGGGAATAAGCACATGCCCCTCTTTATATTCTCAACCCCACAAGCCTATCTAAAAAGCCGCAGAGATTTGTGAAATGTATACAAATGATGCAACTATGCAGAGGTTTCGAAGCTGGAGAGCAAGAGTATGGTGAACTATATCGCAGGGAGTGGCTCTCAAACTGAGTTCTTAACAGAAAGACTCTTTACTATTTACCTTTACTATTTACCTTTAATTGAGCATTGCTTGGCTTCACACCCTCTCTCATTTGTCCATTAGAAGAAACACCTTTCCTCCCTTTTGCAACCCCCACCTTAGCATTCCTATGGCAACTACAGCAATTGCTTACATAGAAACGCAATAGGAAAATATTTAATGTATTTTTAGCTGTCTTTTAATGGAACTTAACAGCTGGAAACAAGAAGAGCCAGCATCACGTGATTAGTCAGCTCTCTTCAGAATACCAGCAAGTGCGCCGTTGACCCACTGCTTAGCAACTATTGCCAAAAGAGGCTGCCATGCATAAGGGTTTAGGTGAAGATGGGGGAGTCCCTTAGAGGAGCCTAGGACCATAGTGGCAAATGACACTGAGGCACAGCAGCACCTTGCTTTGTGACTTCTTGGCTGTAGGGACAAGCTGGGCTACTCCTTTGTGTCCCTTATGTTGTGATGCACTATGAAGCCAGGCAGAAGCATCCCTGCCACAGGCATGTGCCCTCAGCCATAAAGATGGGGAGACTCCCAAGCAGGAGGGAAGGATCCTGAAGATGCTGATAGCAGTGGCACAGGGAGGTAACCAAGCCCCAATCCTTGACCCACAAGAGACAAGGGTGGGAGCCAATAGGGCAGGGATGGGGAACTTTTTTGGGGGGAGGGAAGACTGCTGACACACAGAAAAAAAATCAATTGGGGGGTGCACATAAGTGAGATGTAAAAAAAAAAAAACCCCCAACCTCTCACTGCTGTGTGGCCCCACTGAGAAGGAGACAGACCCTGCCCCCATTCCCCAGGCGCACCAGAGCCCTGGGAGGTCCAGGCTAGTAGATTCTGCCTGCTCCAGCCCCGCGGGGGGGCAAGCCTCTGGCCAGCGGGGGCTGCATCCCCTGCAACCAGGGACATGGAGCAGGCGGAGGCTGCGCTCAAGGACAGCAAAGGGGCGGAGTCTGTGCTGGGAGAGGAGGGGAAGGATCAACACCTAGCCCCGCCCCCCGCGCCGCACGGGCTGCTGGGAAAGTAGAGCTGGAAAAGGGCGGGGCCAGGAAAGCAGCAGCAGGAGGAGGAGGTCAAGCCGCACGGGCTGCTGGGAAAGCGAGGCGCCCGCACGGGGCCG